AGGGGGAAGGTGAGGCCCCATGCAACCCCATGCAAGGCAGTGTTGACTCAGACGCGCAGGATGATCCGTTGACCTTGGAGGCCATGTACAACCTGGCCTGCACACTGTGGCATTTGAACAAATTTGATAAAAAAGCAAAAGAGTATTTCGAGAAGGTCGTGCAGAAGTGCAAGCATGCCAAGCAGGAGCAAGTATGCTGGCTGAATGTGTTTTAACGCATTTTGTTGCATGTAAAACAACACATGTCGCAAGATTGTCTTGACAAGGTTTGAAAAGATCAGAAAATTATCTGGCTCAAACAGTTCAATCTCCCAACCACCGATTGATCAAACTTGCATAGACTGTAGCCATGCCCAAAGTTTCTCATCTTGCGCATGTTACCCACTGCTACCCCTGGTAGAGAAGAGTTTCCACGCACGAGGTGCCCTCAAAAGTCTACTTAGGTCCAACCTGCCAGGCCGTAGGTCCAAACTGCTTGTATCGGACCAAAAAAGCTTTGCCCAAAATCCCGCCGATGTGTTGCAGGACGATTTGGCCCAGCAGTGTCAGAAGCATCTTGAAGCGATCCGGGATGGACAAAGCGCTGAAGGATCGGGAGCTGAAGTTGCTCCTCGAGGTTGGAATCCAAGATTGGGCATGCTCCGCAAACTTTATACTGTTTGCATTTTTCGCAAGCTTGTTCCCCCAACAGGTTTACCTGTGAGGGCCCGTTCTTACTCCGCTTACTCCTTTGAACGGGTTGCACACCCGGGCCGCATGATTTTACATTTGTCTCCGGACTTGCGTTCCTGCCACACTGCGAGTGCTTTGGCCGCATGATGTTACAGTTGTCTCCCAGTATACTCCCACTTATCTCGCTTGTCTCCGGGTACACACTGGGTGCTCTGGGCCACGTGATTTTACATTTGTCTCCCGCATGACTCTACATTTGACCCCCTGGGTCCTCTGGGCCGCGTGCTCCATGCTTAGACACCCTTGGCCAAATGATTTTACACTTGTCTCCCTGCTCGTCTCCCTTTCTGTTACACTTGTCTCCACTTTCCTCAGACTACTCTGGATACACTTCGCCGGAGTTGTTTCTTGCTTGTCTCCAGCTTAGACACTCTTGGCCAGAGGCTCTCAGCCGGATGCACTTGTCTCCACTTGTGTCTCTTTGCTTGTCTCCATGCTTGGACACTCTCGGCCGGATGATTTTACACTTGTCTCTCTGGTGGTCTTTCTGCTTGTGTCTCCCTTCTTGTTACACTTGTCTCCACTTGTCCCCTGCTTGTCTCTCTTGTTGCTTCACTTGTCTCCCTGCTTGCCTAACCCCACAAATGCACGGTGGGTTGAAAGCTGTTAACATCCTTTAACCAAACAAAGCATGATAAAGCCACATGTCAGTACAACTCAGCATGGCATTTTCCGTAGATTTGCGTATGCTCTGTTTTCGTTTGAACTGCCGTTTCTGATCTTGAGCCAGTTGAGCCAAGTGCTGAAAGAATCCCAGAAGGTCTGAGTTGATCACCGCGAGCTGGAACGGTTTGAGCCGTTGACTGTTTGACACTTCGTCTCTGTGGCCTACTCCATAAATGCACAAACTGTTTGGGGTCTACGCTGGTATCATTGTATTTTTCATGTGTTACTTTTCAAGGGGTGGACTTTGCTCAGCACTGCTTTTTGGCAGCCATATAACCACCGAAGGAACAGGGCCTTCACAGGTATGCGCGGTTATATTACAAAAAACCTTGCAATTTTCAGCTCATCAAAATCTCAAGCCTGGAAGTGGTTTGCTTGATATAGGTTGATGCTCACTGTTGTTGTATAGGACTTCTTCAATATATTGGGTGACTGACAGCTCACCAGTGTAGCAACCGACGACCTGCCACATCTTGCCTCCAATGCTTGTCTCAACTCTTAGCAACCCTCGAAGCATCCGATTCACTATGCCATTTGTATCAGATTGTGTCAAAACCCATGGCAAACCCAGTCACTCAACCGTTCAGCATAATTCTAGTAGATGAGTTAAGTGTGTTTGAAAAGTTTGGGTTTCATCATTATTGTTTCGCCGCACGGCCAGTTGACCGACCAGGTTCACAGAAAAGACATGTGATGCTGTCTGGTCGGTTCAATGATGACAAGACTAAAGCCTACATGAAGAAAGTCAAGGTTGCTCTTGAGCAGCTAAACATCGATGTTTTCATGGTGGAGAAGGGGATCGGGGAAGAGTACGCCGCACCAACGATGTTGGGAATGTACAACGCAAAGGCCATGGTGATCTTCGGTACTGCTGAATATGGTGCCAAGACAGGAGTGCAATATGAGACGTACTTCGAGCTGCAATATGCGTATCAGGAGAAGATATTCCTAATTCCTTTGCGGTTGTGTAAGGAATGGCCTCCCAAGCCTACCGACGCAGATGGAGGACACCTTGGGGCGGCCCAAAATTCATTTGTTCTTCGTCCCAGCATAATTCGGGCGGAAGATATCAAGATGGAAAATCCCCGTGAGATGGCGAAGAAGATTGCTGAAGCCGTCCGTCAACATGACACAAGCCAGGAGGAGGAGGAGGCGATTGATCCAATTGAAATGTTTTGTTTTCATCATATGGGGCCAGGCAATTGGTCGGGGCAAGGCTATTGTTCGCTTCATGTCGGATCATTGATGCAAGGGTTTGTCCTTTATGTTAAAACGCGCCCGTTTTCTATGTTTCAAATTCGTTGTTGTTGCCCCTTTTCTGTTTTGTCACTGCTGTGTTTTGCGCTCGACTTGGACATCAATTGCAGCGTGCTGATTTCTCACGCAGCATTGCCTGTACTTGTGCAGGCGAAAGGAAGATCAAAGCAACAGGCAAGATGAGCTGACAGACATCACCCTCTCGCCGAATATCTTGACAACCCGTTTGCGCCTGTGGTTTTCCTTCCAACTAATCAGTGGGGCATGGGACTTTATGTTGAAAATGTCAACATGTGACATTGTGACGCTCAAAGAAACTGAGGGTTTCCTTTTTCAACGTGACCGAAGCTGGTATACTGGTATACTTGTCATGTGTTGTTCAGTTCGGATCGGGCGGCGTTATACTTTGAACGTGCCAAAAGACCACAAACAATTTGAGAAAGCTCATCCAAAAGACCGGTGTTGACATGGACCCTTTAATCCTGGAAAGTGCTGTGTGATGCTGTGTGCTTTCCGCACCCGATAGAAATGGGGTAGCTAGATTTAAGAATAGACTCCACCCGATCGTGACCTTTGTTGCTGCAGGGATGAACAAACACAACATTGATTTAA